GATCTTCGACTAACAAATGGTTGTCTGTTTTCGATTCCTGTCACTTTGGATGTCTCCGAATCGGATATCAGCGCATTGGATCTTGCTCCGAATAAACGTATAGTATTACGTGATCCTCGAGATGATGCAAGACTAGCCATTCTAACTATTCAAGATATCTATCGACCAAATAAAATTGAGGAAGCAATAAAGGTTTTCGGTGACAATGATCTTGCTCATCCTAGTGTAAAATATCTTCATAATCATGTTAAAGAATACTATATGGGTGGAAATGTTGAGGCGATCCAAGCTCCCACTCATTATGACTATATATCGCATAGATGTAAATATTTATTTTGCATTTTCTTATCTCTTTACCCTATAAAAAATTTTCATTATCGTTCCGGAAGATGCTCATTTTTCGGAACAAAACATATATAAATTCCTGTAGAATCCTAATAAATTACAGGTAAAAATCAAATCCGGAAAAAATTCGGCTTCGAATCTTTTGTACTTCATTATAATTAGAAGCCGAATCTTATCCGGATTTGATTTTTACCTGTAATTTATTATGATTCTATGGAAATGACCAGGGATTTATATATTTTGTTCCGAAAAATGTGCATTTTCCGGAACGATAATGAAACGATAGTCTGGTGAAGGTCGGGATACGTTTTTCGAAAATTTTTTATAGGGTTTACATTCTATATCAAAAAAAAAAGTATTCTAATTCTTTTTTAAAAAAATAGATACACCGGCTGAACTTAGAGCTCATTTCAAAAAACTTAATTGGACACGTGTTGTAGCTTTCCAAACACGAAATCCAATGCATCGCGCTCATCGTGAGTTAACTGTTAGAGCTGCGAGAATTCGACAAGCAAATGTTCTCATTCATCCAGTAGTCGGTTTAACCAAACCTGGTGATATTGATCATTACACAAGAGTTCGTGTATATCAAGCTATCATGCCAAAATATCCTAATGGAATGGCTACTCTTAGCTTATTACCTTTAGCAATGAGAATGGGTGGTCCAAGAGAAGCTCTTTGGCATGCAATTATCAGAAAAAATTTTGGTGCTACTCATTTCATTATTGGTAGAGATCATGCTGGCCCTGGAAAGAATTCAAAAGGCGTAGATTTTTATGGTCCTTATGATGCACAAGTAAATAAATTTTATTTATAAAAATTTTTATTTTTTGATAATTTATCAATATTTGAATTAAAAAATTAGGTACTCGTTGGAAAATACAAAGATGAATTACAAATTGAAGTTGTACCATTCCAAATGATGACATATCTTCCTGATTCTGATGAGTATATGCCAATTGACGAAATACCAAAAGGTACTCAAACATTAAACATCTCGGGCACTGAATTACGAAGGCGTCTTAGAAGTGGTCTTCAAATTCCGGAATGGTTTTCATATCCTGAAGTTGTAAAAGTACTTCGAGACACACATCCTCCAAGATCAAAACAAGGCTTTACCTTGTTCTTTACTGGTTATTATAATTCTGGTAAAGATTTAATTGCTAAAGCTTTACAAGTTATACTTAACCAACAAGGTGGAAGGTCAGTCAGTTTGTTATTGGGTGAAATCGTACGTAGCGAACTTTCATCTGGTAAGTTTTTTTTTTTTTTCGAAGAGAAAGGCACAGATGTCATGAAAGTTATGAGTGAATAATTCAACTTTATATTTTTAATAGAATTGGGCTTCTCGAGGAAAGCTCGAGATCAAAATATCGCTCGTATAGGATTTGTCTCTGGAGAACTTACAAAAGCTGGTTCTGCTGTTATTGCTGCGCCGATCGCTCCGTATGCAGACGCACGAGCTCATGTAAGACAAACAATAGAACAATATGGTGGGTTCTATTTGGTTCATGTTAATTCACCTCTAGAATATTGTATTGCAAATGACAGAAAAGGTATCTACAAGGTATATATATTTATTTATTTATTTATTCTTTGACTAAAAATTGAACGTTTTATTTTAGTGTAAATTTTGTTTACCGTTTTATTATCTGCTTTAGAGAGCACAATCTGGAGAGATTAAAGGTTTTACGGGCATTGATGACCCATATGAAATACCAACTGATGCAGATATTGTAGTTGATCCAAGCAAACAAAGTATTAGCGATA